AGGATGTGCTCACATCCACCAAAGTGTAAAAGGAGGAAGACAGGAGCTTCAACAAACAAGAACACAAACAAGGAGCAAAACAAAGTCCTACAAGGCAGCGGGTCAGAGGACCTGGAGAGCTGGTGGCTCAGGGAGCCCTGACAGAGCAGAATGGGCTTCTCAGAAAGATTGTCTCCGAAGAAAAAAGAAATGACAGATTTACTAGTGTTACTGACCTTCAAAAAAATCCTACTGAGACACCATTAGAAGGTATGGGAAAACACTAACCATAAATAGCAAGAAAACTAGACAAGGAAGTAACACGAGGAAATTACTACCTCTAGAAAAAAAAACGAAAAAAAAAAACCCTGAAAAATAAAAGTCAGAAATTTATGTAACAGTAAGATGTAAACACTCAGATGTTACAACACTCAGATGTAAATAATATTTGCATAGAAATAACGTAACCACTAACTATTGATCAAACTAAAATGTATAATATAACCATACTGAAAGGATAATGGTGGACTACACTGGACCTCAATAGATAATGCCTAAAACTGATCAATCAGAAGGTAGTGGTATACATGCATTTAAAAGTGCAGAGATGTAAGGAGAAACATTTTAAAATCTGAAGTATTTGCCCCTAGAGGAAACACTGGGAGTAGTGAAGGGAGGGGTCGATCAGAGAACTACTTTATTCAGAGCATAATCTTTTTAATTCTACTTGTCTATACTACGAGTCTGTGTCACTCTGATAAAATTAAAATTAACAACAAAAGGATAGGAGATAGAGAAGCAGAGCTAACGTAGAGGGGCAAAAAGAAAAACATGTACAGACAAATCTTTCCAGAAGCTTGGCAGCAAAAGGAGTCAGGAGGGTTCTCAGGTAGTCGGAGTTAAGACAAGTTTTTGTTTGTTTTAACATGGGAGAGGGTGGCAAATGCTAACAAAAAGTATCCAGCAGAGGAATCGGGTTAGAAATGCTGGCAAGAGAGAGAAGTGGCAGAGGAGAGAACGGAGAATGTGGACTGGGATAGGATTCAAAGCCTTTGGCAGGAGGATGGAGAGAACATCCAGGCCTGAAGAAAGCGTGAGAGGCTGTTTAGTAGAGCAAGGCAGGTCTGCGCGGTTTGTGATCAGAAGATGAGGGTAATCGTGTCTGGTGGTCTCTGTATTCTCCATAAAAGATGAGTAAAGGCATCCCCTAAGGGTGAGAGGCTAGGTGAGGAAGGGGGAAGCCTCTCTCTGTGAACCCCCGCTCCCCTGCCGCGAGCATCCCGAGCCCATGGCTCCGCGAGTTCTCCCAGAATCCAGCAGAACAGGCAGGGATGGGAGTTAGTCTCTCCCAGAGCCTTAACCAAGCTGAAGCTGGAGAGAGAAACATTGCAGCAAAGAGCCAAGCCCAAGAGACCTAGATGGGAAAATAGAGTGAGGGACAGCCTCTTAGCTCCCATGCGTGACAGAACAGAGAAGTGAGGACACTTACTGTGAAGGGTCCAGACCTGGAGATCACTGGTCCAGGAACTGAGAATCACTCTTGGAGGAAGTAGAATTGAGATGCAAAAAAACCAGTTTTAATTGGAAGGTGGAGGAGGAAATGAAATGAGATCTGCCTCCCTGTTAACCCTGGCCTGGCTGTGGGCAGAACTGACAGCCAGTACAACTGAGTCCCCAAAATGGAAGGGATGGAGACAAAAGGCCAGAAACCAAGGGTGAAAACAGTCAGAAGAGATACAAAGAGGCACAAGAGAGAAATGAGCAGACAAAACAAAGTCAGGGAGAGAAACAGACAGATGAAGCTAGCTGATAGGTACGGCACACGCGCTCTCGCTCTCTCTCTCCCCCCTCTTCCTCCTCCCTTTTCTCTCCCTCCCTCTCCATCCTCTTACACAGGCAAGCCTGTGTGCACCCTTACCCACATACATTTAGATACTCATTTTATAAACAGGGTTCAGCCTACCTGAAAGCCAGCATCCTGGATATATGCACTCCCTTGTCCTGGCCAGTCAGGATGCCTAGGAAGACAATACCAAAGGTCTCTCTCTACCTGCCCTTGAACTTTGTGGCTAGAGAAAAATGCAAAAGCTGAACAGATCCTTGAAGTCTCCAGGCGCCACCGGGTCCTCCCATAATTGATCAGTGAATGCCTCTGAGGGTTCACTCTCTGCCCTTCTTCCAAATACCGTCCATCGCCCCAAGGCTGGACCCCACCCTTGCATTGCCATTCTCAGCTGACCACCATGCCCCCGCTTTCCTGAGAAAAACATCATTTGACAGGAGCTCCTACAACTTTCCTTCCCTCTCCAAATGTCTCTGATTCTTCATCCATCCCTTTATCCTTTCCTACCAAAAAGAAAAACTTTAGGCCATCGATATAAAGGCAAAATTCTTGGCAATGAAATGTCCATGCCCAACTCATATCAGCATGAGTAGGAGGTCCCAAGGTTGTGCATGGTCTGCTGGGGCAGCAACATCTCCTCACTGGGGGGTGGTTCTCTCCTCTGGACTTCTTGCCATGGAATGAGTTCAGGGCACCAGCCCAGACTAAGGCAGACCCCGCCTCAGGTGCCCATAAGGGAGGCCATAGCCTGGGGCAGTCTCTCCAGCATGTCCCTCTTCCTGCCCAAGACCATCCCTCACATCTAGGCTCTCCATTTGCATTCCCCTTCCTGCCTCATTTCATTAGATAGCTCCCCTTACTCACACTTGTATACTCAATCATTCTCTTTCCTCTAGACTCTCCCTTAGTTTAAAAATATACTTAAAACTCTTCCAACCTAAATTGTCCCCCTCTCAATCCTGCTGTTCCCCCAGCTACTGCCTTAAATGTCTCTATTCTTTCCCAGCAACTTCCTTGAGGGAGAGTAGCACTCACTGCCATCCTTTCAAACCGGCCATTCTTTCACAGTGAATTCTGGTTTCCATGTGCACCCCTACCCCGACCCCGCAGCCCAATTCCACTGACAGTGTTTAAGGTTGCTGCAGATCCAGGTCATGAAATCCAAGAGTCACATTTTTATTTATTTATTTATTTACTTACTTACTTAGAGAGGGGAAGGGAGGGAGAAAGGGAGAGAGTAATGTGTGGTTGCCTCTCATATATCTCCCCACCTCCTGGGGACCTGGCCCAAACCCAGAAACTCAGGCATGTGCCCCAACCAGGAATTGAACCAGGGACCCCTTGCTTCGCAGGCCAGCACTCAATCCACTGAGCCACACCAGCCAGGGTCCAAGAGTTACTTCTCAATCATTCTCTGATAGGCTGTTCACCTGTGTTAAGGGGAATTTAAAAAATAATGTATGTCTACCCAGGGCGCTGACAGGGGAGCAAGATTGTGTGAATTCTAATTATAAAAGGCAGCTCCAAGGAAAAAGCAGTTCTTGGGTATAACAGTCAGAGCTAAGAAGCCCAAACTCACTCACCCAACTTGACAACTGGATGCTGGGACTTGACCTAATTAAGGGAGGTGATAGGTTTCCTAACAAACAGATGTTGTCTCTCCCAATATACCAAGAAGGAAAGGGAGGCTCAGAAAAATTTGATAGATTGTCCAAAGTTACACAGTGAGTTAGGATCAGATCTCATTTCATCACATTAATGGTGACACATTAATGGTAACAGCAACCACTTAATAACTGCCGTATATCAGGCATATGCTAAGAAATTTACAGAGCATTATTTGTTTAATCCTCTCCTAAAGTACAGAGTAGAATGTCCACCTGACCACTCTATAATTCTGTTGCAATATCTAATGAACATTTTCAATGGTGACACATGCAAAAACTATCTTTCCCCAAGAACCAGTTCCACTTTTATCTTTCACCGCCTCATTAGACAATTTCTTCATAGTAGTTACTTAGCATAAAAACAGTTGGAGTCATCTTCTCTTTCACACCTTACATACAGTTCCTCGGAAAATCCTCTTGTCTCCACCCTCAAAATATACCCAAAATCTGCCCCGTTTCTCACGACTTGCTCTGCTACCAGTTTGGTGCCAACCACTAACATTTCTTGCTTAGATTACTTGCTACTCTCTTTCCAGTGTCTCTGCTCTTTCTCTCTCCCCTAGGAACTCTGCTTCCCCTACCCCCACGATTATATTCTTCTCAAAGCAACCAGAATGATCCTCTTAAAACTAAGACAGATCATGACCCTCCCCTGTTCAAAACTCCGTAATGCTTTCCATTTCATTCAGACTAGAAGTCAAAGTCCTTACCATGGCCTAGAAGGTCCCTAATGATTTGCTCTCCAACCCTATTTAGAGGCCCATCTCCTGCTACTCCCTTGCTTGATCTAATACTCCAGCCATCAAATGGCCTCCTCAAACACACCAGGCCTGCTCTTTCCATAAGGCCTTTGTACTAGCTGACGCCTCTACCTGAAGGCTCTCCCTCCCTCCACCCCCATGGCCACCTACCTCGCCTTTTTCAAGTCCACTAAAATCTCATTCTCATTGTGACCCACCCTAACTCTTCACAGCTCCTGATTCCCCCTTAGTCTCTGCTACTTTTTTTCCTTTTTCTTAGTACTTACGACCTTCTAACATATTACACAAGGTACTACTTATTTTTCACTCCCCACATTTCAGGGACATCGATCTTTGTTTTGTTCACTGATATATCCCAAATGCTTTTAAAAAGCGTCTGTCATATATTAAACTTATTGCATGAATAAAGCAATGGATTGACACCTTAGGCACTTTTGACAGCTATTATGCCATTGAACTCTGAAAAGACGAATTGCGACGCTTGTGCAGCTCTCTGCCTCCATCTGGCGGCAACTGCTCAGATTGAGTCGTTTCTTTTTCAGCGCGATCCCAAGTTTGTTAGGAACTATTCGGCTCGGTTCCCACTAAGTGCGCATCGGACCAAGATCAAAGAGCACAAGCTCCGAGAAGAAAATTGTGGGGCCGTGAGAAGCATCACCAGTAACCAATAGGAACAAAGATCTTGTTCACGCGGAACGTACTCAGCCTATCGTGCTGTCAATGTTTGCTAACTTACTCCTTTCCGCTCCATGCTCCTTCTCTCTCGACAAGATGGCCACACCGGCTGTACCAGTGAGTGTTCCTGCGGCCACTCCAGCCCCAGCTGAGGCCCCCGCCTCAGCCCCAGACCCGGCTCCGGCCTCGGCCTCAGCTCCAACGCTGCCTCCAGTTCCAGCGCCGGTTCCAGCTCCCACTCCAGCGCCGCCCTCATCCCCAGACCCCGCGGCAGCAGCGGCTGCGAGCGCGGCGCCGGGCCAGACCCCGGCCTCGGCGCCGGCCCCAGCGCAGACCCAGGCGCAGTCGCTGGTTGGCCCGGCTCTTCCAGGCCCCTTCCCCGGCGGCCGTGTGGTACGGCTGCACCCGGTCATCTTGGCCTCCATCGTTGACAGCTACGAGCGACGCAACGAGGGTGCTGCCCGAGTCATCGGGACTCTGCTGGGTGAGTGGTCAGAGAAAATTGACGTTCTCTTCTTTTTCTTCTAATCTCCGTCCCCCCCCCCCGCCCCTTTTATCTTGCTCCCTTTTCTTCCTATACTCCTTGATCTCAGCTTTTTCTCTGCGACTTATCTTCCCAAGGAACTTGAACTTTCCGGCTCGCTTGCTGTCATTGGGAACAACATAAGGTACATAAGTAGTAGTTACGTGTTAAATACCGTTTGCCGAATGATTTACATTTTAATCTTCTCAGCATTTCACGCCGAGTCCCAGTCTACCAAAAATGAATTAAAATGCCGACTGGGTAGTCAAACACCCTTGACCCCGTAAGCCCAGTGACCACGCTTCGCCCCTTTATCTATGAACTAAGCATCTTTCTTTTCCAGGTGTTTGCAAAGAAGTTCCTAACCAATTGGCAAAGGGGGACGTCTGTTAAAAGATATCCCTCCCAACAAGGAAACCTGTTTGGCAGGAACCCATTTAGGGCTTCAGGAATAGTCTGCTTTCCTGAAGGTGTAAGCCTGATGACTTGTCCCTCGGTCTCCCTGCTGCTCATCCTTAAAGGCCCAGTTCCCCCAGAGTTGTCTCTGATTCTCCATTTAGACACGATAGTTGTATTGTCTGTTTATTATATTGCTTAACCTTCACATTGGAGAATAACCTTTTTGCTACCCATGTTCCAGATTTGGGGACTAGATTATTTTATGTTAAAGTAATTTGTGATACTGAGAAGCACTAAACAGGATTTGCTGATAATATATTCCTTTCTCTGGGGACTGCTGGTCCCATCAAATTCATTTCCACCCCATCTTCATTAAAAATTTTAGACACCTTTGTGAATCCACTCCAATTGCATGCATCACTTCTCTTTCTTTGGTATATTGCAAAGAGGACACGATTTATCGGCAGACTCCACCAAATAATTCGCCGTGAGCCTTGGGACATACTACCGAAAGTCTGGTTCCTTCAGGAGCTGCTTCAGAATTAGTCTCTGTGAGAACTAAGTTATTACAGAAAGCATCTAACTGCTGGTACACTTTAGATACAAAACAGCTGTTGGTGTCTCTCCTCCACCACATCGGGCCTGCACCACCCCTAAAACACACACACATTCTCCCCCCCCCCTTTTTCTTTGAGAGTGTAGCAGTTTACAAAAATTTCAGTTAATCCATTATCTTCCAAACATAGCCATAGTTTTTCTCAAATCAAGCCTTTGTGTTCTCGTTGCCGCAAGTGCCTTCCTTAGTCTCCCTTATTTGTGTCTTTAAGTCTCATTCACCTTCCAGGTTCCCAGGAAAAGTGTTCAGTATTGGTCCTTCATTCCACTCTTCCACCCTCACCTCCATTCTTACGATACAATAACAGTCTGTGACTGTGCCCTGCTTTCAGCTTGTAATAAATGACTTTTGCATCACTGATGTGACACTCAACAAATACTTACTCTTCCAGCTTCACTGTCAAATTTTCCAAACTCACTGGAGCTGTTTAACTAAAGGAACAATTCTCTACTCAAGGTCTGTGCCAAGTGCCCCGAATATTCCAGTGACCCTAGTTGGACCAACTATAGTCTAGATCTTCAGATCCTCTTCCAGATAGGCATCGTGGTGCAGTGTTAGGTGTAGAAGCAGTGTTTGCTGAAGAATGGAGCATGGATTCTGCTTGCTAGGGACTTACACATTTTCTCAGACATTAATAGATGAAACATTTCATTTGGTTAAATGAAGTCACCAGTGATATTTATATATCATAAAACTGTCGGACACTTAGAATTCAAAGCTTGATAAAATGAGCTCCACTCTCACCTTAAATTGAAGATGAAGGTGTATTCTTCTGTGCAAATAATTAGAACATAATGTGATCAATGCTGTAATAGAAGGGTGCCCTAGTGGCATAGAAATACAGAAAACAACTCTTTCAAAAGTTTGAAATGGTCAGGTCTGTTAGATGCTGATGAGAGGTCAAATAAGATAAAGAATATATGTCCATTGGTTTTGGGGACATAGTTTCAGCTAAGGAAGCAGAAACTGTAGTGAAGTGCAATTAGATACTAAAGGGTATGAGTATCATCATGGTCTGTGGTGGAGAGGGAAGCACTTGAAGTCTGGGATGGGAGTAAAAATTAAATAGAGAAGTCAAGGGACTAAGCAATACCGGTGAGGTGGAGAAACAAATGTGCATAGTGGGAATAACGTTATCAGACCTACAATAGAAGTTTGTGGTAAAAGACTGACATTGGTGTTAAAGGTTCACAGGTGGGTTTCTGGATGATGATGAGGTCAAGGTTATGACCGTAGCACCAGATGGCTGAAGAGAGTACAGGTGAAGCTCCCTCAACTGTATTCTCTCAGCGTTGGCTACTGTATGGGTGGTCTGTGTAGACTTAATTAAAATCTTCCAGGTGACTCTGCACATGAATTATAGGGAGAAAGTCTAGAGGCTGAAAATGAGGGTCACAGTAAAGATCTGGAGGAGGACTGATAGAGGAAAAGTAAGGCAAAAGGAGACCCTGTGAAAAAAAGAATAGGCCCTATTTGTTGATGGTTAAAGAAAGGAGTTATATGTCTCTCCAGAGTTTCATTTCTCTGGAAAATTCTCGTCCCACATTCTAAAAATCGGAAAGCATTAGGAAAGTGGTTGGAGGCTGTTAGGAGCGTTGGGATTACATAACACGTGGCCATTTCTCTCTCACAGGCACCGTTGACAAGCACTCAGTGGAAGTCACCAATTGCTTCTCAGTGCCTCACAATGAGTCGGAAGATGAGGTGAGTCGGGGTTTGAGCTGCCGCTGTGCGGTGTGGAGCTGTTCTTTTGCGAGGCTCCCCTTGGGGCCCTCCGCCACAGGCTACGTTGTGCTCATAACTGGAGCTCCTACAGGTCGGAGAGCTTTGTTCTGTTTAGACATGCTTCCTGTGCCTCTCCTGGCTGGCGGGTAGCCTCTCATTCTTTTTACGTATTTTTTTTTCCTATGGATTTCTAGTTTCTGAGCTTCCTTTTCTGCCTTCCTAGGTGGCTGTTGACATGGAATTTGCTAAGAATATGTATGAATTGCACAAGAAAGTCTCTCCAAATGAGCTCATCCTGGGCTGGTAAGTTGGGGTGCAGAGAGAATTGGAAAGTCTCTCAGTGATTGCCAAGGTCTTTTGCCACCAGACTACATACTGTACTCTCTGTTCAGAAGACAGAGTATCGAAGGTGTATTAACTCAAGGAGCTCTGAATTCAGTATGTTTTGCTGGCAATCCTGAGCCTCTGAAGCCAAAAATACTTCTTTTTAATTGAAGCTTTTACGGAAAAAGTCTTTTCTTGCCTTGCTGATGACTTGGAATTTTTCAAGAGCTCTGAGTCAGCTTTTGATTTGATTTGATAATAGTTTTCAATGTGTTTATTATTTTAGTATTTGGAGTATCACTGAGTATCACTGCCATAGGGATGTCAGGTACCAAGGGACACCCATGCCACCATCGTGTTTGGTGTTGATGTCATATGCAGACACACGTCACCGGCCGTGTTTTGTTTTCCAGGTACGCCACAGGCCATGACATCACAGAGCACTCCGTGCTGATCCACGAGTACTACAGCCGGGAGGCCCCCAACCCCATTCACCTCACTGTGGACACGAGCCTCCAGAACGGGCGCATGAGCATCAAGGCTTACGTCAGGTGACCAGGGTCTTGGGCTGCAAGGGCATAAAAGGCTATCTAGTTTTGCAAGGGCATAAAAGGCTGTCTAGTTTGCACCAGGGCAAGATGACACCCGCCCCGATCCCAGGCAGTTACGACTCACTGCCTCCCATGGAAATCCATTCCTCATTCAAGAGTTAGCATTAGAAGGATTTTATTTATTTACTCTGAAACAAAATCTGTCATGGCAATTTCCACTCGCTGACCCTAGCTGTATCCCAGATTTGTACTCGTTGCCCTAACTAATTTCAAATGGCAGCCCTTCAGGTATTTCAGCATGGTGTCATGTTCTTCATGTCATTTTTCCCAGAAGCTAACTTTGCATGGTGCCTGTAGCTGTCCCTTACATGGTATTCTGGTCATGATCCTTCACCATAGTCACTGTTTTTCTGAGTTACCTTTCACAGCTTGTCCTTGTGCCCAGAACTGTCCACAGGACTCTGGGTAGTACCAGTTGAGTAATGGCTGTCCTTATTTTGACATGTCTAGTAACCCAGGATTAAGTCCGGTTTCGATGACCATAACGTTACAGTATTGGCGCGCTGCGGCGGTGAGAGAGCCGGGTGATGGGGGTGTCGGGCAGGCCCCAGTGGCAGGCTGCGGAAGGGGGCTGCTTTGGCCCTCGGAGCGGTCCTATTTTCTGTTTAGAGTGAAGGCATTCATTAAGTTTATACGCTGTTTAACTTGTGCTGTTTCTGTGTCTGACACTGATGTAACTAGTTTACTATTATGCAGTAGGACAAAGATAGTGGATACCAAGTCCTTGTGGCTGGTTGGTTTACCACTAAGCTCTACATATTGCCTGATTTCTCAGCCTTTCCAGATATTTTCTACTCCTTAAGATCTAGCTGAAAGTGTATAGTTGACACAGTAAGGGCAGTAACGAGATGACGTACAGCACCCAATCTAATCAGGGCCGGAGTCCATTTGCTTTTCAGGTGCAGGTGAAGGGCTCCTTCCCAGAAGAGACCTGCCCTGTCTCTTCATTCTGTGGGGGTGCTGTCTAGGCAGCCAGCTCCACGGGGAGGTCCACTGTCTGTCCTCTCATCTCTGAGATGGCAGTGTGTGGCGTAGTCCTCTGTCGGGACCAGGCCAGGTCTGGAGGCTGAGCCCCCTCACAGGCCAAGGGTTTGGTGTGTGGAATGAGCTAAGCGAAGAAAGGGAGACTCTGGGGTCCAGGCCTCCTACGTCGGACGCTTGGAAGCCGTGCTCTTGGTGTGCCTGCTTTCTGAGCCTGGACTAGACATGGAAACCCGCTCAAGCCCATCTGTTTATCTTGACTTCTCCCTCCCCAGCACTTTAATGGGTGTCCCTGGGAGAACCATGGGCGTGATGTTCACACCTCTGACAGTGAAATACGCGTATTACGACACCGAACGCATTGGAGGTGAGTAACCTTCCCGTGCCCTCCTTCAAGGTCTTTGGTGTTTTTATTGGGAGGAGGTTGCTGCTCCCTAACAAGGGTGGAGGGCTATGGGTGAGTAAAAGAGGAACCATTTACCCAAAGTGTGTGCTGATTAGAAGTCATAGTCATTTTCTTACATAAATGGGATTCAGGAAATTATATGTGAAGTTGTTACAGGTGGGGAATTAATCATTATTAGGGGCTACATGGCTATTCATATGAGACCCAAACCAGTGATTGGCATGCGAGGTGCAGGAGTTGAGCTCTGTCTGCAGGGAGAAATGCTACAGATGACGTCCAGAGGGAGGGGGGAGAGTCAGCAGGATGGTCAGAATCATGTCTTTCCTAATGGAATCACTGAATTCTCTGTTTCTTCTACCTTCCAACCCCATCCCACAGTTGACCTGATCATGAAGACCTGTTTCAGCCCCAACCGGGTGATTGGACTGTCAAGTGACTTGCAGCAGGTAGCGGGGTCATCGGCTCGCATCCAGGATGCCCTCAGCACCGTGCTGCAGTATGCGGAAGATGTTCTGGTGAGGAGGGCAAGGAAAGAGGAGGAGGGCAGAGGTCTCCGTGCCTAGGTCACACGGAGGTAGGCTGCTGCGGAGACAGTCCTCGGGGGCAAGAATTAACTGTGCCTCGTTCACTCTTGATTTCGGTGCTCAGTCTGGAAAGGTGTCAGCTGATAACACCGTGGGCCGCTTCTTGATGAGTCTGGTTAACCAAGTACCCAAGATAGCCGCCGAAGACTTCGAGACCATGCTCAACAGCAACATTAACGTGAGTGCCATTTCTGGGCTTCTGGGAGGCTGTGCCTTCCACTACCTCAGCACGGACCTGAAGGGAACCAGGGAAGACGGCCTGGCCGGGGTCAGGGCAGACAGGGCTTTGCCTTTGCCCCCTTGCTCTCCAGTTTGGGAGGGAGGAAGAGATGGTACACATGCTCGTAGATCCCCTTCTCCTTCCTTGATTCCATTGGCTTAGGTACTGCTGGTACTGTGACCTGCCTTGTAGATTCATGGTTGAAAGGAATGCTTAAATCCAGAGGTTAATGAAAAGGCAACTTCCTATTTTCCCCCTCTGAATTTACAGTTCCCCCGATAATTTTACCCCTGGATGTCAACTCAGGCACGCTGGTCTCTTAAGTTATCGGTAGAGATGAGGAAGTGTTCTCAAGCACTTCCCTCCCATCTCCTGCCTTCAGCGCCCACTTACCCTGTCCAGCTGTCATTCACCCAGGACTGTCCTGACACCCCGTGTCCGTCGTAGAGCTGCCAGGACCAGCCTTCCTGCTCCCCTTCCACCCAGCTCCTCACTCATCGGGGCCGCTTTCTCTTCCAGGACCTGCTGATGGTGACCTACCTGGCCAATCTCACACAGTCACAGATCGCCCTCAATGAGAAACTTGTAAACCTGTGAATGGGCCCCAGCTCTGGGACTCAGAATGGAGGGAAGTGGGAATGGCTTCTTGTGGTGTGAGCCAACTGCCTGTGACTCTAAATAAACATAGCTTATCTTTTGTAAAAGAATTCCATCTTACGTGAGTTTACTGCTGGGTGGAAGGGAGAAAACTCTTCTAGAGCTCATGCAGCAACCAAGAAGTGGGTACTTTTCTTGGGTAGAAGTGGGTAGAAGTCAGTTGTGTGTCTGGCACGACTTGTCATCAATAGTTGTCCCCACAGCCCATGCTACTCGGGCTTCCCCTCCCCTCAGACCAGAGAGCTTTAGCACACAGGGACACGGCCTCCTCACTCTTTTTGCGTATGATCAGAGCAGACCAGGCCTCCATTGAAAGTTTTTTTAATCGCTTCTCTTTCGTAGCATCTTATATGGGTGGCAGTATAAGGGGCTGCCTTATGCACGGTTTGAAGTACCTAGAGAATGTGAGTGAGAGGAGAGAAGGGGGTTGATACAGATCTCAGTCCTGGGACCCATGAGTCCTGGAGGACAGACAGCCTTCTCCATGGTGAGAATTAACAGTGCCTTACTGAATCTTTTCTCTTGGCTTTCAGCCTAGGAAGGAGTCCACTGACCGTACTGTGAACCATTTCTTAATGGATCATGTGGTTACCATTGGAAATGAAAATGAGAATCCATGCAGGGAAAATAATTGAGAGAATTGGATATTTAAACTGAAAGGGGATGTGGTCAGTGTTTTAAAGTAAGTAAATAGTAGGATAGAGCCATTTGACCCTGTGGTTTGGAGAAGCAGAATTAGGATCTCCAGGTTAAGCTTTTCCCCATGTTAGTGGGGAAAGCAGAAAAGTAAATTACCAGTTACAAAACGGTAGACAATGAGTGCTAGATATATTTATTGCACACCTGTTATGTTTGGGGGCAGCTTTGATTTTCATATGACGGAGGGAGCTGGGGTTCAGAGACGTTGAATACGTTACTTGAAGTTACACAATTAGTAAGTGATGGAAGAGGATTCGAATCCACGTCTGGATTGTATTTTTACTTGTAGCCCTCCCCTTCACAGCTGAGTGGCCCGATGAAATCATTGTTCTCATGGGGCAAAAGTACAGCAGAACAGGAGCACATCATAAGGACCAACCAGCTGTCAGAGGGCATCTGGGGACAGTCTACGCAGGTGCTTTTGTGTTCGTGTATGTGTGTTTTTACCAGGAAATCATGAAAGGATAATCGAGGCAAAAGAAACATTAAATAGCAGGGACATTCAAAAGAGCTTAACCTGTTCAGAACCTAAGGAGGCATGTGCAGAAGCCCGGCCATTGGGGTCCTCAGGCTCTGGAGGCGGCTTTTTACCCTGGAAGCTGTGGGAAGGCACTGGGTGCTTTAAAGCAGATGTGGTCATATTTGGGTTTCAGGAAGACCACCTGGTAGTGGTGTAGAAAGGGAGGGAAGTGGAAGGCGAGGGGTGGGCGTGAGGTACACTGAACTGGAGGAGCGATGAGGAGTGCCCTAACCGGGGCGTGGCCGTCGGGGTAGAGGCGGAGACTCTGACTGTCAAGAATGTTATAAGGCAGACTCAGGAGGACTTAGGCCGGTGAAACATGGACGGCGAGAGACGCGAGGAGTCCAGGATGTTGCCTGTTTCTGATAAGGATGATTGAAGAGATGGTGGTATATGGGAAACTGGCTCCCGCACAGCAGGTGGTGAAGCTTAGAGAATGCAGAGAGGCGTGATCAGCATTAAGGTGGGAGGGGTAGTGTGGGACCAACTGGTGACGTTTTTAACGCAAAGCAAGAATTGTGAGCTGTTTGGTAAACGGGGGGCTCTACCATATCCTTTGGGGACAGGCTGAAAAATTCAAGCTGCCCATTTGCTCCCATAACACGTATGTGCTAAGCAAAAAGCCACGGTGCAGAGAGGACAGAAATCATTACCTTGGGAGTCACAGGTGTGGAACGTCATGGCCGTTTTCTAGGTAGGAAGTGAAATCTAAGCTGATCTTGAATGAGGAAGATGGACTGAAAAAAAAAACAGAAGGAAGTAGAGCATTCCAGGCACAGGAAATAGTAGGTGCTCAGGCTCAGAAAAGGCAGTGTCGGCCATGTGGCTCCATCGTTGCTGATTCCTCAGGTGATGTTTGTAAGGAAAGAAACACTGTGTGCTTAGGCTGACCGAAAATGACTTGTTTATTTGTTGTGTTGTGTTGTTTTTTTCCCCCACCTTGGCTTTGGTGTGCACAAGTTTGTTTTTGCTATGAACGTGTTCCTATGTTCTCTGTTTCATGGTTGTGCATATGCTAAAAATACCTCAGAATGTGTCTGGGCGAGACATGTGGCTGGACTTTCATGACACACCGCACTCCCCTGCTTTTCTCCCTGCGGCCTTCAACACTCCTTTTAGGCGCTGCTTCTCGGTCCCGCGTCCTCTGGCCATCCCTCAGTGTCCCATGCCCCAGGGCTGCACCCAGGGCCCTCTTCACCTTCCCCTCTACCCCCTCTGGCTGGAAGAGCTCACCGGAGCCGTGACAGCCGTGTCTGCCGGTGTGCTAGGGTGCCAGGCTCTAGCTCTCGCTCCGGCCCGCGTGCAGGACTGGTTCCCTGGTTCTGGCCTAGTTAAACGGACACAAGATAGCTCACCTGGATGTCTCAAAAGCATCTTAAGCCAACATCTTCCATAGAGAACTAATTGTCTCTTCCTCCCCTACAAGCCACCTCCTGAATTGCCTTCCTCAGGTGATGACACAACCATGTACCCAGTTGTCCAAACCATAAGCCTTGGGAAACCTTGGATGAATCCTTGATTCTCCCCTTTCTCTCCACCGTCACACCTCAACTAGTTTATTACAACTCTGCCTTCAATCTTGCTCTCTATGATCTTACTATGTATATATATATATTGGTCTTCATCCATGTTCCTGGCAGGCAGGTTTTAAAGTTTCCTAGGTCTTAAGAGCTATAAAGATCAAGAGTTTTATTATTCCTTTCAATAGCACCTAAGTTTATGTTAATGAAGTGACTTTGGAAAGCGTCTGGATAACCATAAGATGAGGACTGGTTGCATGTGAACCAGCTTGTGGGATTGGAGGTTGGAACTTTGGGCTTGACTTAAGTACCAGTGATGTAATCAAACGTGCCTGCATAGTGAGTCCTCTCCATGAAAACCCACAAGGACAGCGTTTGGAAGAGCTTCTGGGCTGGTGAACAAGAACGCATTCCGGAACAAGGTGCATGCCAGGAAGGTGGCGCATCCCAGGCAGGGACAGACGTGCCAGTGCTTCAGACCGCACTCCGTGCGCACTCTTCACCTGGCTCTCCATTCGTATCCTTTGTAATAAATCAGTAAGGGCAAGCAAGCTGTTTTCTCCAGTTCTCTGAAGCGCCCTAGCAAATTGATTGAACCCAAGGAGAGGGGATCATGGGAAGCTCCAATTCATAGCGGGTTAAACAGAAGCACAGGGGACAACCTGCACCCGCAGCCGGCATCAGTAGGTGGGGGGAGGCACTCCTGTGGGACCGAGCTCGTAACCTGAGGGTCTGACACCATCTCCGGGTAGGTAGTGTCAGAATTGAGCTAAATTGTAGGGCACTCAACTGGTGTCGAAATTGCATGATGTGGGAAAATGACCTGCATACCTGGTCACAGATGTGTTTGATGTGAGTAGTAAGTTTAGAGTAGAGCCAAACATGAGTTTTTCTCTTCGTCCTCTTTGATCTGTTCTCACAACAGCCACACTGCTCTTGGTAAATCTGACCAGGGCATACCTTGTATGCAGTCGCTTCAGAGGTGTCCTGCTGCCCAGGGTAAAGCCCACACTTCTCAACCGCAATCTGTACGGCTTCTCAGGTTGCCTGACTCTCCAGCCCCAGCCCTAACACTCCCAGCCTGGGCTCCCTTCACACCTGCTTTGCTCTCTGCTAGAGTCTCTGAGCCTTAGCTGGCTTCCTACTACTCATCCTTTAAGGTTTTATAGTCTAAACGCTTCCTCCTCTTTGAGGTGCTCCTACATCAGGATCCCATGATAGTCTCTTAGCACTTATTTCGCCGTTTTTGAACTTAATCTGTTTATCCCCTGGTAGAACACAAGCACCCTGAGGGCAGTCTGTTGCAGACTTCCATTCCTTGACCCCTGAGCCAACCAGAGACAGAATAGGTTCTTAATAAATATTTGTTCATTTAGAGTGGACGGCTTGCCGGATAATTGCTGCAAGGCACTCTGGACATGATAAATTCATGAGGAGGAGTCAGGATCTTTTGGAGAGGGACTGGAGGGAGGGAGCACAGCAGACATTGTTATTCGTTTTATTCGTTCTACAAATTTTAGTGATGCTTAGTATGCACCAGGCATAGAGTGGTGAGTTCTAGGGGTATAGAAGTAGATGAACCATGTTCTCTGTCCCCTAAGGTTCTCAGTGTTATGGGGTAGATGCACAAAAATAAACAATTCTGACTAAATAGAATGATTGTTATAAAGGATAGGAACAAATCTTGGGAAGACGGCACAGGGCGTGTGTTAATCTATCCCAGGATCAGAGAAGGGAGTGCCCCTTGAAAGAAAATTGGAATTGACTGAGTAAAAAAGAGGAGGAAGAGCTTTGAAGAAATAGGAATGAAGGTCAAAATATTACTCTTTAATTTTACAATGACCCATATATAGAGTTGTGTTTCCAAGGCTACAGCAGCTCAAAGGTAAAAATAGGGTTGCAGTAACAGCCGCAACACAATCTCTCTGTCTCTGTGGGGACACCTGCTTCCTCAGATCCCCCTAAAAGTTGTCTGGGATGTCTCCCAAGTTCTCTGAACCTGGAGTCAATTTTGTATTTTTGAAATTTTAATTAAATTTTATAATATAACATTTCACTGAACAAAATAATCATTGTTTGTGCTTGTAACAGAAGTCCTTACAGGGCTAACAAAGTTCCAGTTGTCCCCTTTTCCCCAGTGATGTCTCCCATCCCTACGGGGGCAAACAGTTGGGGTTGGTGATCTGGTCTGTGATTAGGTCTGTGTGTTCTGCGATCTGTCTGATTTGCCCTGATCTATCTTCTCTCTCATTGAGGTTGCCAGCCCTGTGCTTATGATTCTCTCCCAAGATGATGGCTGTCAGTCTTTGAACTATTGCTGTGCCTCAAAGTGTGGGGCCTTCTGTCCTTGATAAGGAACCACTAGTCCCAGAAGCAGCGCTGTCCTATGCCCGAGGTTTTAAGTGATGGCCACTAGAGGGCTCCCTCGTGCCACTTAAAGGATGCTGGTTGCCCCTTCCCGTTTCTTGAGTTCCTCAGCAGTTTTCTACAGCCCTGGTTTAGAAAAAGCACCTTCAGCTCCAGAGAGTCCAGGGCAGTGCAAAGAGTGGCCAAAGCTTCTAGAGATGCCTCTTTGTCCACCTTTGAGCCACAGTGATGATACCAAAGCATCTGCCTCTCTATCCACTTCAAAATCCGTCTATTTCAAAATATGGTTAGAAACAGTTTTAAGTAAATCTTCTAGGGCCTGCTCCCCTTCCAATGAGATTTTAATTTGAAAGGATTCTGGAGCTGCCACTTCCCAGGAGAAACTCTGGCCTAGACTTAGATGAGGGTCCTGGGCTTCCCTTCCAGGGAATGGGTAGTGCCAGAGCCGATACATAGTCCCCCGGCCCCTATGAAAGACGGTGCCTCTCCACATGGTAGTAGAGTTTTGGGCAGGTGAATGAGGGGCACACATCAATCTCCAGAGGTTGGGAAAAGGAGATGGTTCAAGGTAAGAGCATGTCCAATCCCAGGTGAGACTGCTCAGCTGATTGGGAATGCAGGAGATGGGCTATAGTAAGGGTTAGCTGAGGCTGGAAGTCCTAAACCTAAAAATTCAGCTGGAGGGGAACATCCTTAGGTGGGTCCCTTGGAAGCAGAACATGCAACAAAGAACTTGGGGGAAGATAGTTCATGTCTAAGACAAACCATTCAATTCCATGGGTTGCAATGAAAAGTACCACAAGTTTGGTGGCTTAAAGCAAGGGAAATTTTTTATCTCACAGTTCTGAAGACAGGAAGTCTGAAATCAAGGTGTATTCTAAGTACTGGGGACATAGCACTGTATATCAGCTGGCAGTTGAATGCATGTACTACATCCTGGAGGACAGTGACCCAGTCCACAGAGTTTCATCTCAAAGCTCACTTCTTCACTGAGCCTTTAGGGGGCTACCCTCTAACCTTTGTTTCCAGGTAATGAAGTATATGGTAGGACCCCTTGTTTTACAAAATCCTTGTCACATTATCACACATTCTTTACCATCAAATAGACCCTTCAGCTGAAGCTTTCCTATGCAGGATCTCAGGTTGATCATTAGAGTCTATAAGCCATTGGAAAGGCATTACAGGCAGAGAAGATTAATCCACGTTCAGCAAAGATATCGGGTCCAGGAAGGACACACTGCTGCCCCATCCGGGATGGAAGGAGTCTGAGGTAACCTATTTACCACCAGGTGCTGAGGCACTCTCCTCGAGGAGTGACATAAATGACACTGTAGGAGGATCCAGCCTTGGCGACCACAGGTTGAGCAGACTCTGAAGTGACTACTCATGTCCAAGTGGCTTATTAAGGAAGTGCCTCAGTGGTGTGATTGTACGTAAGTAACGACTGGCTCTCTGGGAAGAAAATGAAAACGGCTCGATGCATAGCACTTGCCAATTTCCATGCGTGCGCCGTGGTGACTGCTCCCACCATGGCCCGTTTGAAGCTACCAACATGGCATTTCTGAACATGGCGTTGGGAAGAGATGCTAACAATGGGCCCTTGGCACGAGCCAGCTCTGCCACTGAAATGCTGCTACGGGAGACAAAGAAAGGAGTGGGTGCTGGGGGACAAGAAAGAAGAGGAAAGGAAACAAGGCTGTTATCTCAGAGTCCCACAGAAGTTACAGTCAACCTGATCCCGAAGGGACCCTCTGGAGTACACACCTCAGTGTTGTCCATGCCCATAGCAAGGATGCTGCATTTTTGTCCTACGCCTGTCAGGTGTTAGACAAGGGCCACCCAGGATGACAGTGAATTCCTAGGCATCCACCACCCTGTGTGTGGGTAAGCAAAGTGGCTCCGGCAATGTGAAGGCAGTCCTCGGAAGAAGAGGGGCAGGTGCTGGGTTTTAGAAGCAAAAGTACATCAAAGCCATAGGTGAAAGTGGAAGGTGGGCAGGACACAGGAGATCCGTAAAAAGGCATCCAGAAGAATCTGAGGGAAGCAGCAATGTTGTCCACTACACCATCTCACTGCAGGCCACACCACATCCAAGCCTCGGGGGGCAACTGCAGCAGATGTGCTAGACCAGCTCCAGGCGCCCTTACAACAGCATCCGATCCCAGGTCACAGGAGAATGCTCCCAAGTGAATACGCTCTCCTCCGTCTAACCTTACGTCGCATCTCCTCAGCCCCACTCCCCTTGAATGTCTTCTAAATCAGCTCCTATACTTGTTCTGCCTGCTCTGACTACTACATTTTATCAGACAGGTTCAAGCAGAGAAGCAGAACCCTCTCTCCAAAAGGGGACAAAGGCCTTTGTCTCTGGGCGACATGCATTTTTCCCTTTTAGCTGAGTCACACTCCTCTTTTAATACTAAGATGAAAATTTAATTACTATTTACATGTATTAGATGGTAAGGGAATGGGAGAGGAGAAGGAAAAATATTGCTTAATAGACACACAAACATATCCGGGGAGGAAGAGCTCTTTCTATGAAGTGAGGCGATGCTGCAGGAGCAGGGCCTGTCTTCTGAGGGAGTCCCTTCTTAGGTCTTAGTTGTCTTCCATCAGTCCTTTGGAGACAGGACATCCTTGGAGGCTCAGGAGCAGTGGCTTCTAGTTCTGCAGTGTCTGTGGGAGGGGCAACAAACACATTCTCCAGATAGGGGAGTTCCCTGCTCACCCCTACCCAAACAATGAAATACGGCTCCACACACTCGCAACATGGTGTTCCCGGAGTTCCAGTCCAGCGCTCCCGAGGGCGTGGCCATTCCAAGGGTCTCACCATCAAGACGTGGTTCCAGAACAGAAGTTCATGCATGTCAGTCTGTAAAACCACTGGCTCTACACAGCAGTTTGCTGAGGACCTGCTCCTGGGTAAGTACTGGTCAATGCTGCATCTGGGCAGCTCTGAGGGCCATGGAAGACGAGTGAGTGCAGAGATGGCTGTACTCCACATGGTGGCAAACTCCAAAGCTAGTGAGGCCAGCAAGTTACGTAAGTGAGAAGCTGGGTGGCTGGGGCCTGGGGCTCCCGGGAGATGTGAGCTCCCTGCGAGGACGGCAGCTGCTTCTCTGCTCTACGCCTGCCTGCCACGCTGAAGGCGGATCCAGGGGTGCCACATTTTCTTAGTTTTCAAGAAAAGACAAAAAGCTGGATGTGTTAAGTCTTCCAATTTTCCTGTGTTGTCAACTTAGTCAATGGAAAAGAAAACCAAGCGGATATTGGACAAGCAAAAGCACACTTGTGGGCTGGATGCAACAGGTGCGCTGCCAGTTGCAAGCCCTTTAACTGAGGGTTAACAGGCAAGTCTACAGTTTCTCGAAGTTGTCCCTCATCCTCGGATTAGTGTAGCTCAACCTCTACCGCCCTACACTCCACCTCCAGGGTCTTAGGCGCCTCCACCCACCCCGGGGTCCCAGCCTGTTAACACTGCCACCCGGCAATTGCACTGAAAGGTCCTTCTTAGGCTTCCATGACCTTGCAAGGAGATTATACCTGTAAATCCCTGCTGGCTCGGGAGGAGGGGCGCGGGGAGCAGGCTGGAAGGTGCCGGTCTGCTCTCCCTCCCCACCCCACCCCACCCCACCCCGCACAGCGAACCCGGGTTTCCTTCCCTTGGGCCAGCCTCAACCACCAGGTATAGACACAGAAACGGTCTATAGTTGAGCCAACCAGCTGGATTTAATGAAGGGAAAACAAAGGAAAATAAACAAATGCTGGCCTAGAAATGGGGATGTTTACAGAGCCTGGTCCTCGGAACCCAAGGGGGCCACAATACTCTGAAGAGCGGGGCCAAGGGAATCTGGTAGGGAAGGAGGAAGAAGTGGATTTCCATTCGGGTAATGAGGGGGCTGAGTCCCGACAGTTTTAGAAGGGGGATCCCGGGGGTCAAAGGACGTCCAAGCTTGGGGAAAAGGGGCAGGAGGGAGAGAGAGAAATCGAAATTCCGGGGGTAGGTGTTCCCATTCCTGAGAAGGGGGGAATTTGTGGAAGGTTGTTCGGAGTGAATGGGTAGAGACACCTCCCCCGCGCCAGAAAGCAAGCGCCGCCTCTGAAGAGGGGGCCGGGAGTATCCCAAACTGCAGGAGCAAGGGCAGCCTCTTAGTCTCCGTCCCGGGAAGGTTTGAAAGAGGTTCCCTAGTGACGCCGGAGAAGATGGAGCGGTTGCCATGGCGACGTGGAGCACACATCAGAAATAAATAAGCAGTGGAGGCTGCAGAGCCGCGCCCTCGCGGGACTCCAAGCAGGGGAGGGAGCCCCTTGGGCCCGGGTCCCCGCAGCCTGCGTGTCCCCGCCATTGGCAGAGCCGGAGGGGGTTCCCCCCGGGGGGAATGGTACGGTCCTCCGCCCGCGCCCGGCCCGCAGCGAGCGAGCGAGCTGCCAGACCCGCGCAGCCTCAGCCGTCGTCCGCGGAGCCCGGAGGCGGCGATGGAGGGAGTCAGCAGCCATCGGACCCTGTCCTACAGCCGCTGGAGCTACGACAGGTAGGGCGCGCGCCTGGAGGACGGGCTCCGCCGAGCCCCTCCGTGTGGCCCTGCGTGGGCGCCCGAGGACGCTCGCCTCCGGCAGGAGAAGCCGGCGTTCTGCGGGGTGAGGACATGCGAGAGCGCCTGGACCCCCAGAGTAGACTCGGACCCTCGAGCATCCGCGACGTCGGTACCGATAGTCTCGGATGTTCGAGACCCGAGCCAAGCGAGGGTGTCCTCAAGCCTGCGGGGCAGGGCTGTCGGAGTGGGGCACCCGGGCACAGGGACCAGCAAACTGCCACCCACCCCCCATCCCCGCTGCTCCGCGGCGTCGGTGCGCTCTGGAATCGTGGAGAAGAGCGCCGAGGGGCTGCGGGGCACCGCCCGGCCCCAGGCAGCCTCCAGGGTCTGCGCCCCCGCGGGATCCCGGGTCTGCGCCCCGCGGGGCTGGCCCCGGGTCGAGTGCGCCCCTCCCGCCCCGCGGGAACTGAGAGCCGCTGCCCGCGTGGGCGGTTTGGAACCGCGCCGCCCACGCACTGGTCTGGAAGGAAGGAATCATCATCCTTCCTAGTGAAATGGGAAAAATAAGGACATTGGAGTGAGTCAGTCATAGAGCGGAGTAGACTTGTTCTGAGATTTTTGTCCTTTCCACTCTTTTTTAGTATGTTAAATGCTCCCTCTTTTAAAAATGAAACCATGATGATAGTAGATAGATTTATTTTATTTTTATTTTGTTATTTTTAAGTTCGCAACCCCCTGTTGGTCTCCAGAATTCTGGAGTTAAATTTTTAATCCATGGCCCTAAATGGTGAAAGCTGGAAGAGAAACTTCATTAACCCGGCTGCGCTCAGCTCCCTGAAGACCTGTTTCCCGCGCCTCTGTCCCCGTCACTGTGCTACAAACCTGCTGGCGCCCCTGGCGGCATAGATCAGTTGGTTGGCGCCTCCTCCCCATATGCCGCCGCGAAGGTTGCGGGCTCCATCTCAGGTCAGGGCACATACAAGAAGCAACCAATGAATGCATCAATAAGTGGAACAACAACCTGATGTTTCTCTTCTCTCTCCCCGCCCCGCCCCCAAGTCAATTAGAAAGAAAAATAAAAACCTTGTGCATTTGACAGCATTTGTTCTCCTAGATTCAGAGGAACAGGTGTTTATCCTACCCCAGGCTAATGCCCCTGGGATCCCTCGTTTCTCTCCCCTTGATTCCATCCCCATCCCTCGTCCCCATTCTCACCTCCCTCTCTTTATTGGAGCTCTTTGCTCAGCCTGTAAACCTACTCAAGTGTGTCCTGCCTCCCTCCTCAAGATGGGAGCAACTGGGCCGCCTCTTTTGTTGCTTTCATTGCCTTCTCTGAGGACAAGTGTCTGTTCGATTGTTTCCTCACCAACCCTTCATTGTACAGTCCTAGAAATCTGCTTGCTGTCACCTCACCATCCCAGCGACCGTGCCCTTTGGGGAAAGCAGTGCCCTTTGCGGAGAAGAACTCTAAAATGATTAAAATAGTAAACATAAAGTAACAAAACCTTCAAAAGCTTGTGTTCAGATCCGAAATCACATTCATTCACTTATTCGGCACTGTAGTCACGTGCAAACTGTGTGCTGGGCCTTGGAGTTAAGGAGATAAAAAGACATAAATCCTTCCCCCAGATGAGCTCACAGTCTAGATTCTGGTAGAAATAAGTGGTAGCATATGCCAAAGGTTTAATGCATATATAGGAGGGAAATTTTAAATCGAGATAATTTTATATAGTTACTAAACTTTTTCCTGCAAACACAAACAAATAAAAACAGCTATTAATAGTTAACCATAACTTTAAACCCTGTTGTCTGGCTTCTGCTCCCACATCTTTGAACCTGGGAAGCCCCTCCCCTTCAGGTCCCTGTGGAAGTTGACCAGTCTGCTGCCCAGCTCTCAGGGAACCACTGATCTGAAATGCTTGCGTTTCCTAGAATTTTCTATAAACGGAATCATTCAGTATGTACTCTTTTTTTTTAGTCTGGCTTCTTTCATGCAGCAGAGTTATTTTGATTTTCTTCCATGTTGTAGTGTGAAATGCTAGTTCGTTTCTTTTTATTGCTGAGTAATATTCCATTATATGAAGATGCCATTGTTTGTTTATACATTCATCTGTTGGTAGACATTTGGGTTGTTACCACTTTTTGGCTATTACAAATAAAGCTTTGTGACTTTATGCATAAGTCTTTGTATGGACGTATATTTTATTTTTCTTCAGAGTGGACTGGCTGGATTTTATCTGAGGTGGACATTTAACTTTTTAAGAAACAGTGTAACTTTTCCAAAGTGGTCATATCATTTTACATTCCCAAGTGCAATGTAGGAGAATTCCAGTTCCTCCACGCCCTTGGTCAGATTTTAAAATTTCAGCCATTCTAATAGGCACGTAGTGGACTGTCGTTGTGATTTTAACTTGCCTTTCCCTAATTACTAATGGATATTGAGCATATTTTCATGTGCTTAGTTGCCATCCGTATCTCTTCTTTTGGGAAGTATCTGTTCAAACCTTTTCCCTACTTTTTAATTGGGTTATTTGTTTCCTTATGCTTGAGTTTTGAGAATTCTTTGTGTATTCTGGATACATGTTCGTTGTCAGATTTATGACTTGCAAATATTTTCTCCAAATCTGTGCCTTTCTTTTCATTCTTTTATGTATTCTGAAGAGCAGAAATTTTTACTTTTGATGCAGTCCAATTTTTGAGTTTGTTCTTTTATGGATTGTGCTTCTGGTGTCATACCTAAGAAATCATTGCCTAATTCAAAGTGACAGAGAGTTCTCCAAGGGATTTTCTAATTTTAGATTTACTATTTTAGGTCTGTGCTCTATTTTGAGTTAACTTTTGTATATGTGTGAGGTTGGTTTAAAAAAGAGAAGATAGCCAGTTGTTCTGGCACCGTTTATTCAGCGAACTTTTCCTTTTTTTCCCCACCTTTATTGAAAATCAGTTGTCCTTGTATATAATTTATTTCTATACTACGCATTCTGCCTCATTGATCTCTTTGTCTTTCTTAACACCAATCCTACTACGTCTTGATCACTATAACTTTATACTAAGTATTGAAATAAGGTTGTTTAGGATTTTCAACTTTGTTCCTTTCAAACCAGAGTACCTATGACTGCCCCGCAGCTGGGACGCTCCCTTGGCAGTTGTTACAGAGGCTCTGGCCAGGCCCATTGCCAGCTCAGGATTAAGCTACTTGACAAGTGAAACCAAAAGGTTGCTTGGTCAGCGTGGAGTCAAAACAAGAGAAAAAGAATGATTTGGAGAGGCTCTTTCACCCAAGCCCTGGAGAAACCAGGGTCTTCCTCTTTTTCCAAGTTTTTAAGCTATTCTAGGTCCCTTTCAATTTTCATAATTTTAAAATGAGACTTTCTCGTTCTATTTTTTTTTTTTTTAAATCCTGCTGGAATTTTGATTAGGATTGTGTTGACTCTGTAGATCAATTTGGGGAGAGTTGACTGTTAATAATATTGGGCCTCCCAACCTCTGAACATAGTATATCTCTGATTATTTAGATCACCTTCAGTTTCTCTCAGACATATTTTATAGTTTTCTGTGCATAAGCTTTTTACCTCCTTTGTAAGATTTATCCCTAAGTATTGCATATTTTTCAATAATATTGTAAATAGTATTTTTAAAAATGTTATTGATCAATTGTTCATTGCTAGTGTATAGATTACAGTTAGAGTTTTATGATAAAATATGTATAACATAAAATTAGCCATTTCAATGATTTCTAAGTATACAGCTCAGGGGTATCAGTTCCCTGCACAATGTGTGTTATCATCACCACTATGTATTTCCAAAACTCTTACTGTACCCCAACAAGAACTTTGTACTCATTAAGAAGTAACTCCATATTCACCCTTTTCCCCAGCCCCATGTGGCCTCTAATTTACTCTCTGTCTCTATGACTTGCCTATTCTAGATACTGCATATAAGCAGAATCTTACATTTTTTTCCTTTCTGTCTGGTCTATTTCACTTAGTATAATGTTTTCAAGGTCCATCCATGTTGTAGTAGCATGTATGAGAACTTCATTTCTTTTTTGACTGAATAATCCTTCATTGTATTCATAGACCACATTTTACTTATCCATCAGTCACTTGATGGATGCTTGGGTTGTTTCTTAATACCTATTGGATATTAAGAAAATGCTGCAATGAACATTGATGTGCAAATATCTGTTCCAGTCCCTGTTCTCAATTTTTTTGGTATATACCTAAGAGTGGAATTGTTGGATCATATGGTATTTGTATGTTTAGCTTCCTGAGGAACCATCAAAATGTTTTCCAGAGCGACTGCACCGTTTTACATTCCTACAAGCAATGAGTGTTCTTATTTCTCTGCATCCTCACCAACACCTATTTTTTTTTGTTTCTAAAATATTATTATACCTGTCCTAGGATGTACGAAATAGCTTCTCATTGTGGTTCTGACTCGCATTTACCTGATGACTAGTGAGTTTGGGCATCTTTTGATGAGCTTATTTTCCGTTCATATCTCTACATTGGAGAAATGTCTATTCAAGTCTTTGGCCTACCTTTTTTGTTTTTGTTTTCTTTTCCTAAAAACCTTTTGACTGATGCATACCCTACAGAGGGAAAAAAATGCACCCGTCATAGGGAAGAGCTTGGTGAACTCCCACATAGTGAATACACTGAAGACATCACGGCCCCTGACACAGGAGACCTCCCTCCTGGCTTCCAAAAGGCTGACTTCTAACCTCGGAGATCAGTTTTGCTGATTGTGACTTAATTTCAGACTCCAGGGTGTGCTCTTTTGTGCCTTCCTTTTCAAGCGTAATAGTAGATGCACTCGTGTTTTGGCATGCCGTGTGCAGTTTGTTCGTCCTCACGGCTGTGTAGTACGCTGCTGTACGGATTTACCACCGTCACCTGTTCTGCTGTAATGGGCCATTGGCGTGACCCAAGGTCTTGGCTGTTATTAACAGGGGACATTTTAATGCCTGTCTTTCACTGATATTATTATTATTG